TCTGCAATGCGATAAATATGTCCTTGAAGATCTCTCAGCAAGTTCGTACCAGGTCAGAAAGGAAAACAGGAGGAGACACCTACCCAAAACACGCCAAAAACCTGTTCTTCAGCCACCTCAGGAAGACGAATTCCATAGCGATGCCAGGAGGACCCCCGGGAGCAGCCTGGCCTATGTAGACGTAGAGAAGCAGCATGGTGAGCAGCGTGGTGAGACTGTAGGCCCAGTGGACGCACACCATCATAGCCACCTTCACGCCCACCTGAAAAGCCAGGGCGGTGCAGGGATCTAATTGTCGACGTCGGTTCATGTGCAAAAAGGTATCCAAGACTATAAATGTATTCTTGCCAGGAGACGTGAGAAACACATAAATCATTGATATAGTATATGTAAACGGATGAAAAAAATATAATACTTTGAAATGTAGGTGAATGAATTAGTAAACATATGAGCAAATGCCTCTATTGAAATATAAGTAATGATATCACTGAAAATAAAGAAACACGATTAAAACTACGAATAAAAGCGCGAATGAAGACACCGCGTCCACAACCGGAAGACCCACCCCTATCAGAGAGAGCCAGCGATTGCACAGGTGGGAGTACCAGTGGGTAGGCTTCCCCGTGATAGCGAGGAAGTCCCCAGGGGCGCCCATGCCAGGCAGCAGGTCTTCACTGGCGCCCGTTCCGCCATTCTCCTCCTCTGTGGGAAACAGGGCATGTAGGTACAGAACATGCATGTATAATGCTAGCCTTGTTTAAGTTTCTGTAGTTAAATCACATTAATGTCTGGAAAAAGGTATGTGTATCACTGAATTATTTGAGTAATGGACGCAATACAATACAATAACACCCCGTGGTGTGAAAAGGAAATCTTGGCCTCTCGTGGCACTTCTTTCCTTGACATCCCGCTGCCTCTCCTCTGGGGCCTCGACACTCACCCTTGGCAGATGGCTCGGTGTCGGACTTGATGCTGGAGTGGTCGTCCGGGGATGACACTAAGCTCGAGGTGCCAGAGCTCGCGGCCGTCTGTGGGGCGCAGAGGAAATCGAGGTCATCGAGTTTTACGCAAATCAAGCTTTTTTTTTTTTTTTTTTTTTTTTTTTTTTTTTTTTTACTTTGACGTCTATTGAGACAAATATATATTTCAAAGGGATAAGGTAATAGGCTTTTTCTTTTTTACTTTGACACGTCTATCGAGACAAAAACATATATATTTCAAAGGGATAAGGTAATAGGCTTTTTTTTTTTTTACTTTGACACGTCTATTGAGACAAAAAATATATATTTCGAGGGGATAAGGTAATAGGCTTTTTTTTTTTTTTTTTTTTTTTTTTTTTTACTTTGACACGTTTATTGACACAAAAAACATCTCAAAGGGATAAAGTAACAGCCTTTGCTTTTCTTTTCTTTTTTTTTTTTACTTTGACACATTTATTGACACAAAAATATATATCTCAAAAGGGATCAGGTAACAGGCTTTGCTAAAAGTATCTGAATGTGGGTACGTTAGCTGATTCGAGGATCAAAGACTTCAGTGTTTTGATTTTAATTTTATATTTTACTTTATATGAACAGGATCTCCAAAGGCTCTGTGCGTTCTGGCTGTTTCATTGTTATCAATTAAAGCTTGAAATCTATGACTGTAATATTTGAAAGGTGTGGGTGTATGTATGTGTATGTGTGTGTGTGTGTGTATGTTGTGTGTGTGTGTGTATGTGTTGTGTGTGTGTGTGTTGTGTGTATGTGTGTGTGTGTGTGTGTGTGTGTGTGTGTGTGTGTTGTGTGTGTGTGTGTTGTGTGTGTATGTGTTGTGTGTGTGTATGTGTTGTGTGTGTGTATGTGTGTGTGTGTGTGTTGTGTGTGTGTGTGTGTGTGTGCGTGTGTATGTGTTGTGTGTGTGTGTGTGTGTGTCTGTGTTGTGTGTGTGTGTTTGTGTGTGTGTGTGTGTTGTGTGTGTGTGTGTGTTGTCGACGAAAAGGGACCACTTACCGTGATCACCTTTTTGTGAGTGACTCTCTCAGGGAACAGGTGATCGAGGTCAGTGTTTCCCCCAAGTCCTCGGGAGTCAAACGTCGGCGTCCCGAATGTCTGACCTCTGACAGAAAGAAAACGAAAAAATGAATCTTCACTCTCTTCTGAAATATATTTGTCACGGAAGAAAACGGAAAAAAATCTTCATTCTCTCTTGAACTATATTTATCACGTCTTTTTTTTACTCCTTTTACCTTTCTTATCATTCCTTCATTATTCCTCTAATTCTTCTCTCCCACAAATTTCACTTTTACCCTAAAATTCGCCCTCTCCTCATCCCCCCCCCTCCCTCCCCGCCCTTCCCCCACCTGAACCTCGCCTCCCGCGCCCTCTGCAGGTCGGCCGTCATCGCGAGGGCGAAATAGGCGTAGTCGATGGCGGCGTAGGTGGCCAGGTAGGGCATGGTGACGATGGGCGCCAGGGTGTTGATGCGCCCCACCAGGAGGAAGACGAGGGTCACCACCACG